CAGATTGTTTGTGAGGGACACAGAATCATAACAAATGTTTTTCCTATATTTTCCACAGGCTGCAGCTGAGCAATATAACCAGCTGAAGGATCTGAAGCAGGTGGGGAGACTTCTCTGATGATACAATTAATAACAAGCCTCCATAATAAGCTAGTTGTTATTTTCTTCATTATTAATAAGATGATTCTTTTTGTGGTTTGGTCTATAAATGGTCAGAAAATAGTCAAAAAAGCCACCCCATTTTCTCAAGGCGATGTTTTAAATATCTTAAGTATGAATAATTACTATTAAAGGTAGGGTAGGTAAATTTGAGAAACCGGCTCGAGATACGCTTTTTGTTATATTCCATGGAATGCTCTTAACATCCCGATAGCAATGAATATCTTAAGTGCTTTGACAAAAAATCCATTAAAAAATGTCATCTGTGGAAGCTGTAATACTGTAAAAAGCACGACCAATCATTTTAGCCGGCCCGGCTAAAATAACTGGATGGCCTACCTGCCTGTCAGCCTTCCATCTGTGCACAAACTTATCTCTTGCCCTCATTGGTCATATGCGCGTTCGTGTGTGTTGGAGGAGGGGCTCTGTAAGGAAGTGGCAGATTTTCTCCGGTTGTGTATTTTCAAATTCTAGCGATCTCGAGCCGGTTTCTCAAACTTACCTACCCCACCTTTAATTGTTTATCAAACTAGTTTTTGGTTATATTTCTGTTATCTGACTTGATTAGTATAATGAACTTTAACTTTTGGACCCACCACATCACACCATTTATTAAAAATGTATTGCATGTATTTTTGAAAGCATTACGTTCTTAACATCCAGCTTCACAATGACCTCTCATTAAGTTTTAATAGTATTCTTTCGAACATAAAATATATTTCCGAACCCTTTTCCCTGAATGTTTATCACAGCACTAATATCACTGTTTATTTGGAGCAGAAGAGCTTACATTTTCACTGTCTAGTATTATTTAAATCCTTGTGTTTGTATTGTTTGCTTTGTATTATTTCTGACTTTTCTGCTGCCCTTCCTCCTCTGTAGACTTCAGATTACCAGACTAAGAAGAAAGAGTGTCGCAGCCTGAGACACAAGCTGTTCCACATCAAAGGCATGGTGAAGGACTACGACAAGAACCACTGATGAAGCCACTGAGTCCTGACACTCAGCTCTGACACCCACACACACACGGGCCAACACACACTCCAAAACAAAGACTCATGAGACATGCCGAGACCAAAGTTACCTGTACAGAGCCGACACATACACATAGGGAACATACTGTACGTTAATAATGATGATCATGATCAGTTATGTATAAAAAAAAACATGTTTTTGTCAAGAAATGGAAGCAGGGCGCTTAACTGTTGCCACTCCCACAGCAAACACTGCCTTTTCCAAAGATTCAGCTCATTGGTTTGAGTGTTCAGGATCAGAGGGTGTGGTCATTTGAAGGTCAGCTGACCTTCAGACACCTGTGATAACACTGCTCAGGCTCTGTTTGCTCTCCATTTTTCTTCGTTTTATCTCCTCAGATAAGATGTGGAAAAGTATTGAAGCGAACGTAGTGAAGGCTGAGACGAGGAGCGTGATTGTTTTGCAAACAGTATCTTTAACCCTTGGCATGGCGTTATCTTTGTCACAAATCAACTAAAATTGTGCTTTTCTCATCTTCTTTGTCAGTGTAACTAATTTTAACGTCAGTGAAGTAACTTGCTATCGGCCGGGACCATGTGTCTTCACTGTATTTTCTAAAACTAAGATTTTTATACTGATTATCATAGATACACTGAGACCAAAAAGGGCACCAACTGGCCAGTGAGACTTGTTGTATTGTATATATTTAAAATGAATCATGTTCATACCAAGTATCAAGAACACATTTGCAGTTATTAGATTTAGCAGATATTCTAGCATTTGTGATGACGTTATGTGTTTATTTGTACATAATAAAGACCCATAGTGGCATTTTCTAATCAAACAAGTTGTGCTTAAGCTATGCAAATTAAATCCAGACTGTTTTATTACATTTTTTATCATGTTCCTCAACAAACTAGAAAACACTGTTTCTGTCTATAAGCTACACTTACCAAAATGAAAAATGATCATCTGCTGATTCCATATGTGGTCATTTTTGTATTAATCCACTTCAAGTGTTTGGATCTTGTGTACGTTATAAAATTGCTCAGACACCCTTTTGATTTGTCATGCATTTGTATTTTTATGAAGAACTTTGTTGTTATTTTACAAACCATTTGCAAACCATTTATTTTTGTATGGATTTATTTTCTTTGATGCTATTATAAGACCAATTTTTGTAACTGTACTTCCAAAAGGTATGATGTCTAAAAACGATCGTGTTCAATAATAATAAACATTTTAATTCTCTGGAAATTAAATAAACATTTCCCTTATTTTTTGAACAATTCATTCATGTTTTGCTGACCCTGCTGATTTTCAGATATCCGCAGCTTTGTGTATCTGCAGCGAGCGTCCAGCAGGGAGCAGGAAGACTTCAGGAAACGCCAATAATGATCCAATCACAGCCAGCTTAAGGTAAGCTGCTACTGCCCTCTTTTGGTAAACTACTTTAACCAGAGCTGTTCAGCACAAGCATTTGCTGTGTCCAAATTCCTTAACTCACTACAGTATGCACTTCTTATTTTTTTGTATTAGTATGTATACAAATACAAATTATCCTTAATGCACAATGCAACTTTGGAATGCCACTATCAATTCACCTACTCAAGAGAAAGCAGAGTGAAAGACTGAAATTACTTTATATTTTTTTACTTATATCTTTTTGTAACAGTTTCACTTTCATCTGTCATTTATTTAAAGGTCACCTATTATGCAAAATCAACTTTTTCATGTCTTTTATACATCAACATGTGTCCCCCCCCCCCCTCTGTGCAAAGAGATTCTGAAAGTTTCAGGAAAAAAGATTCTCTCTTTTTGTCCTGATCCATTTATATAAAAACCTGTCTAACAATGAGCTGATCAGATTTTGGCCACTTTATGATGTGATAACGATTTGTTGGTTTGTGTAACCATTAGCCAATCACCAACCAAGGTAACCCCCCCCCCCACACCTTATCACCTGAATCTCCTCCTAGAGCACCATTGTGTTCTTTTTAACCAAATATCTCTCATGCGGCTTTCACACCAGCGCTTTTCCCTTTCTAGCTCCTAGCTAGAGCTTTTCTGGTTCAGCTCCGGTTTCCCTTTTCAGCTCCCGCTCTGTTCACACCGCCCAGAGCTGCCGCTGCTGCGTCATGACGTCACCGTTTACATCGCTGATTTTCTCCCCAACGGAGCTCACAACAACAACAACAACAACAACAACGGGGGGGGACTGCGTCGGGTCGATGATCGTGTTGCTTTTAATCATACGAAGCCAGATTAAATTAAATAACGACTTCTCCAACCTTATACTTTTCTCCAGAGTGCCGTGGTTCATTGTTTATTAATGTGTTTCAGCTGCATTTACCGACCGCTGCAGTGGCTGCACTTCCACGGGAGTTTATTCTCCCGTTAGCTCCGGGTTAGCTCACACGGCTCTAAAGTATTCACTGTCTGACTGTCACACAAGCAGCTGATACATATCCCCAGTTCCCCTTAAGTGAATGTGTGTCAGTCTGAATTGACGCTGTTTGGCATCACAACGCTGTTATGAAAGTTTCTCTGGTATAACATGGGTGATGTTAGCATAGCAACCGAAGCTAAACTGACTACTTGCTAAGCCGTGTTCTACAGGCACATTTTACCGGCGTATTTTTCATTATGATTCTACTTGTGATAGTCGGACATGACAACCTGTGCAGCCCATGTATTGATACGATAGCTGCTATAATAACAAACAAAACGTCTGCCTGCTCTCCACAATGATCAATAACAGCGAACGGATGGTCAAAGTAAGGTACAAATAAACAGAATCACACGAAGCCTGGTTAGTGTTGCCTGACTTTATAAAGTGTTTTTTTTTTTATAAGTGTGTGGTTGCCTTCTAGTCACTTTGCTCAGCGCTACTGCTTGTAGGCAGGCATGACGAGACTCTTCAGTCGACCCATGGCATGTTCAGGGGAGGTGGGTTTAGTTTCCTGCACGCCTCGACGTAAGAGAGACATAAGCGACGCCGCCTCTAGCTCCGAAGCTCTTGCCTCTAGACCGACAATTTTTTGGAGCTGGAAGTGAACCGCATTCCGGAGCTATGAGGCGGCGCCGCTGCGGTGTGAACAGGAAAAAATGGTACTTTTCAGGCTCTAGCTCCGAGCCGGAGCTGAAAAAGCGCCGGTGTGAAAGGGGCATCAGAGGGGCGTGGGGAGTGGCTCCTTATTTTCATCTAAAGTAACAGACAGAGAATCAGCACTTTTGAAACAGGGCTGAAACAGAGGGGATTATGGGATGCTACAATTATCTGTTTGGTATTTGGAGCCCAACACTTCAGAGACACGTGTTGTATATATCTGAAGCCTATAATATATTGATGAAAAACAGTATAATAGGGGACCTTTAACATTTTTATCAGCTGGGTGAAGTTCCCCTGTTCCTCTTTTTTTGTCCATTATCCATCTGGCGGGCCGGTATCAGTGTCCTTATCCCAATCGAGGGTCAAAGGGCAGAAGGTGTGGTGCGCTGTACAGATTGGAAAGCCCCTTATAACGATTTTCAATTTGTGATATTGGAATTTAAAAACACATTTCACTTGTATGTGTAATGTTAAACTACGTCAAATATCAGAAAATTGAGTTTCAACTAACAATGCATTTAATCTGTTGTTGTTTTTTTTGTTTAATTAATAATTATATTTCAATTATAACAAAACAGAAAAGCACAAGCTCCACATATTGAAAGGCTGGAGCCAATGTATAGCTTTTATACTCAATTACACAAATCAAATAATCTATTAATTACTTTCAATAAATAAATCTTGCCATGTGTTTCTGATTTTTACGAATGTGTGCAGTTTTTCATGTCTCAGAAACTCAAGTCATCCACAAAAGGAATGTGCATACTTTTATTTCTCGTAATGCAAAGATAACCAGTCATATTTTAGATGTGGCGTGGTCATAGAAACATGCTTCTTTTTAAAGTCAAGCTACACAATCAAATCACCATTGTTTATATTCCAACAAATAACACAAAGTGATTCAAGGACAGCACAAAGAGCTGTTAATGAGGTTGTTTGACCGCATCAGGGATCATTGTTGCCTTTTCTTTTAACGTGTAATACAAAAATGTATACCAAAACAATTCCCCTCCCCATTCTCTTTTGTTTCAGTCATTCATTTAGCAAAAACAATTGTCACATTGAGATGCATGCCAATAACAACCATGAATGTGACTACTTGGTACCCTTTATCTCAGTACCACAAAGACCATAACCTTAACAACACAAAACAAGTACCTTGCACAAGCATAATAATGACCTGAAGTGACCTCTGTCCACTTTAGGCCATGTTTTAACACACTGCTTTTAAAGTAGACCACAACTTAGAAAGAAATGAAAAAGAGTATATCGAACTCTCGCGGTCTTCTTACATTAAGCAAACATCTCAACACATTTTCAAATATATTTTGGCCAAGTCTGATGGTCAGACAAGTAGGGGATTATTTGTGTTTATTGTTGAAGATGCCTTGATCCCTTTATATTTATCTTTAGCACATGAATATATAATATTTGTCTTTGATATAAAACATGAGGTAATAATGTAATACAGAGATGTGACAGTGAGGAGCCAGGGTGTGTCTGAATACATTCACCTCCACTTCTTGTGGCGACATACAACATTAATGTATAATAAACTATAGCAAAGGAATAGCTCAACATGTAGGTAACACATGGTTATTTACTTTCTTGCAGAGAGAATAGTAAACATGGAGCTAAAGCCAAAAAACAGTAAGCACCTCCAAAACTCACTGATTAAGTTAAAGATCATTTGTTGAATCTGCTCAAATATTAATGTGTCAAATCACCAATTCTCAATTTTAAGGGGACATTTTTCTGACAGAAGAATACAACATGTAAATGAAAGAGCATCAGGGGGTTGGAGGGGTTACTTGTTTATCTTTGAGCAGAGCCAGGCTGGCAGAATATCTGCTCAGCTACCTAGCTGCTGGCTGTAGCTTCATATTTATCATAGAGATACGTAAGTGCAATCAATCCTCTCATCTAAATCTGCAAGGAATTAAATAAGCACATTTTCTCAAAATGTTGAACTATTTCTTTACAGAAGTATATGCAATACTTTATAGTAAAGTAAAATATACAATGCCAATGCCGCTTCTTTGTTTTAATGCTGTAGAAAGTTGAAACTGCGGTTTTTACAAACATATTTGGTAACAAAGTCTGCTCACTTAAAAAAACCTGACACAACTTGATCTGCGCGAAATGTCCCAGATATAGAGCTCTGCCTGTAGAAATGTCACTATGGCTTCATTCTGGCTTTTAAAAAACAGAGCAGAGGTCAAACACAGAGCCTGGGTTCAAACTGAGTCTCTCCTTAGGGGTGATGTTGGATGAGGTAGTTCAGGCACATGGCCTCATGATAGAGTCTGCGTTTCACTGAAAGCCTTGTGTTTTTATCCAGAATAAAACAGAGAGATCAGATGGAGGCCAGAGCAAAACTGACAAGTGCTGCAAACATATATATATAAATATATGGTAAAGGATAATTACACATTTTTGGTTCTCTGAAAGCAGCTTTTTGGTGTGACTTTCACCAAACTTTAGAGATACTGTGGCAAAAAGCTGACCTTTACACTCACAAGCAAAGACCTTACACGTCTAAGTTTGTATTCATAACATTCAGTTTGTCCTTTATATGTAATCTTTGTGAACTCTGAATCCTCCCAATCTGATCTCAGTCTGTCTCACTCTGGAGTCACATGGGCTCACTGTCCCGGTACGTAGGGCCAGCTGATGGAGCTCCCTGATAGCTGCATGTCTCGGATCAACGTCTCGATGGGGGTCTTGCCCACCAGCCGCATGAAGAAGAGCTGGGAGATGAGGTTGGCAGGCACGGCGCGCAGAGCTGGAAGGCGCAGCAGTAATCGGCCGAAGCGCTGGGGCTGGTTTGGGTACTGCAACCTCTCGTACTCTGTAAGGGCAACCTGGGCCTTCTCCTGCAGGGACTCCACATGGGATGGGTCAGTCAGACCACATGCGTCTGTGAGGCAGAGAAAGAAAGATCAACATTCTGACATTTATTAGCACTCTTTTCTGTTAGCCCTGTTGTTGCATATTGTACACTTGTGGCTTATTTACCCCTCTGGATATTTAAATATGAAATATGTTTTGGCCTTTTATAAAGACACCTGGGATCAGAGAACAGCAAAGACATCCAGTTACATCAAATAACATCCCTCATATAACCTTGTCGCAAAACGTGACTTACCGGGTGAAAAGAGTGCAATGGCTTTGAGGCAGCTGTACTCGGCGGAGTCCACTTGCAGTCGGTTCAGCTTGTCTACCTGGTCCTGGAACACCCTGACCTGATCCATGAAGGACACCACGCGCTCAGCAGACATGGGAGAGGAGTGGAACCCGGCAGCTGCCAGCAGAGGAGCCATGTGTAGAGGCAGAGCAGACTGAGCTGCGTTCAGGATGAAGAGCTCGCTCCAGCTCAGCCTCAGCAGAGCCACCTGCAGGGTTTGTTGAAATAGTTACTTAGAGTAATGTGACAAGATAGAACAACTGTTTTCTAGACAACTAGAAACCAAAACATGTTTTAACTTTAACTGGAAAAAGGGCAATGGAAGGCTGCTTAAAGCCAGAGTTCCTACTTATAATAAGGCCAAATTCTTTAAAAACAGTATTATACTTAATGAACTGTTTTTTGTATTAGATTGCTGAGAGTAGTATGTGCACTTGCTTAACCCTTAGATGCATAAGTGGGTCTTTTTGGACCCGGTGAGGTGGTTTTCTTAAAGTATCTTTGTAATTACATTTTTTTATCATTTCATATTCCAGCTATTCCTCAAAAAACATGTTTTGGATATCATGCCATTCTAATTTTAAATTTACATTTTAAGAAATTGTAGTTTTTGTATTACTACCCCAAGCTTCCATAAGTGGGTCTTTTTGGACCCGGTGAGGTGGTTTTCTTGAAGTATCTTTGTAATTTAAAAAATGTATCATTTCATATTCCAGCTATTCCTCTAAAAACATGTTTTGGATATCATGCCATTCACATTTTTAATTTACATTTTAAGAAATTGTAGTTTTTGTATTAGTACCCCAAGCATCCATAAGTGGGTCAAAACTGACCCGCATGCATTTTCTATGGAATCCTATGGGAAAACGTTTTTTTTCTAAATGTAAAAGAAATTTCTAAAATGATAAATAGTGAAAAATTAAATATAAACTATTTCTAGTGTGAACCAAAATATAATACTAAATATTATACAAGAGATTTTTCTTAACCAAAATGACAAGAATTGCATAAAAACACATATTATTCTAATACGGGTCCTACTTTTAGACCCACTTAAGAGTGTAGGGTCCCCAGTCACTCGTGCATCTAATTAAGGGTTAAGGAACATCTGGGAATTTCCAACCTCAAGCTTGGACTGGAATTCAGTATTTACAGCACATAAAGCGGAAAACCCTATTTTAACATTTGTATTTACATACAGGGACATCATTGCGGTGAGTGGTATCCTACAGTAAGTTGTTACATGCTGCAGTAAGAGGAGACAACTCCAATATTTTATGCAGTAAATATGGCGCCAAACAGTCCACATTGGTTGGCCGTTTATCAGCTTGAGAGAAATGTGGAATTTGAAATGATTTACTTATCTTGTATTGACCCTTGACAGGTATGTAGTATGTGTATATTATGTGGGAAATACATTGAACTCTGCTTTGCATCAATATATGCATTTATTTGGTGGTGTAAATAAAGCTAGCTAACGGTTTGGCTAACGTTAGCTGAAAGTAGCTAACACATTAGACAAGCTTACTGCACTTATGAGCTTGATAGTTTGTACAACGTGGAGACAATAGACCACATAAGTGAGTAAACTATATTTATGTTAAAAAGAAGTCTTCTCCCTTCATATAAGGGAACATATAGAAGCCTATAAAGATCACAAATGGTGGGTTTGTGATCTTGAACTTTGGGCTAGTTTTATGGTTTTGTCAGGCTGTAAAGATTGGCCCGTGTTATATTAAAATGTTGGCTTATGATTTTCAAGTGGTAACATTTGCCCCTGAATCTGTAGGGCTACCCCATGCACTGAATGTGCTGACTCACCTGCTCTGAGACTGGCAGTTCTGGGAAGTATGGGATGTTTCTGGCCCACTCGATGGTGCTGAAGAGGAGCCGGGCGGCCAGCTCACAGATGCTGTCGATGCCCATAACGGAGGCTCCGCTCGCAGATGCCTGCATCTGTGGCTGACCGTACGGTGTCACGTACCGGCTGCTGGGGTACGGCTCGGCCCGGAGGAGCTGGGAGATGAGCTCCGAGACCTGCTGCCCGTTGAAGTAGTCCGTCCCGATGTGACCCGGCCCTCCTCCTCCAGCTGCCAGGGTGTTGGGACTGATACCTGAGTGAGCTGGAGGGATTCGACCCCTCTGGACTGCTGCAGAAAGAGAGGGAGGAGAGGCAACACAATTAAGGTTAGCTCCACGGTCTGAACATCATTTATTATAAATAATATAATATATATGTCATAATAATAATTATGACATTTAATGGATTGTGCAGCCTTGGTGGAGGTATGTGTGCTGTCGGAGCCAAACGCCCCCATCATTGAAGTGTTTTTTGGTTCTCTTTTGGTTCAATCACTCAAACTAAGCTCTCTATTTAGCATTCTGACATGGTTTTTATTTATTTAATTTAGCTTACAGGTGGGGAAATGTTCTTGACCCATTAAAAAAACGTTCTATATCAAATGTTCTGAAAATCTTACATGCATGTTAATCATCTGGCACCTGGGTGCTTTAATAGAAGTTGACACCCAAAAATGACCACATCAAAATAAGAAAATCCAGAGTGAGTTCAGGGTCTCTGCAGAGACAAAGCCACACACTTCTAGTGGGTCACACATGTAGGTTGAGAGGGATTATTTTTGTGTGATATACATCATTATTAAAAACAGTTATCATTGTGCCTTTAAAAGCAATGAGCATTTGCTTCCTTTACTGGGTTAAAGGTATAACAGACGTTTCAAGGTAATGTGAAAACAGTGCAGCCTGCGTCACGGCCGCGGTCAGCATGGTTCATTAATAACCAGGCTCAATATAACCCCTGGCACAGTGTCACCTCAGTGCACGGATGTATGGGACAGCGTCTCGTGGTGTCTTCTGACACTGACTGAAATACAAGTTCTGTGATAGGCGACTAGAATACAATTACAAATGCTTTTAAAATAGTTTGTGATGTGATAATGAGGGTAGGATTGCTGGAATGAAAATAATTACTCCAGGGGAACTGGGAATCGTCTCGTATTACAACTAATCAACTGAGAGAAATTAAGCAAATCATAATTGTAATTAAATGTGTGCATAAATATAAAGACACTTACATACATATAGACAGACATCACAGAGGCTGGAGCAGTGTGAACTTGTTAACTGGTTGTTTTTTCTGTTATGCAAATCAAACATGGTTGCCTCCCCCTCCCTGAACCTCAGCAGCTGCAGGGAGTCGAGCTCTGGGGTGAAAACATGCTTTGGTTGACAGTATAAATATTGTGCTTGGATCGCTGGTAAATGTCAGATGCTGTTTCTGTTGAGGTTAGCGGTTTCTCTGCGGATGACCCATTCTGATATTTATGTATTTGTGTTTGTGCTTTGCTGAGAGGTGTTTGTACATTAATCAGGGTGTTTGTTGGTATTAAAGGACACAGGATATAAATAGTTTAAACCTCAATGCTGGAAAGTGACGGCGTACATTTAATCAAAGTCATGTATTTAAGTATGATTTGAGATACTTGTACAACACTTGTGTGTTCCTATAGGCACCTTTATATTTTGACTCCACTTAATTTCAGGGGAAATTTGATATGTTTGCTTTTGCTTTGCACTACATTTGTTTGACAGCTGCAGTTGCTTTGAAGATCAATGTATTATATAATATTAATATATGAATAATATCATAAATATGATAAATACATTATCAGGACAAAACTAATCAACATTATATGCAATAATAGTAAAATAAAATGAAATTTGTTCCACCTTGTCCAAATACAACATTAAATTGCTTAATCATAATAACTATAAAATGGTCCATTTAACAAAGAAAGTGTTTGTTTTAATACTAATTTGTTTAAGTAAAATGTTGAATGCAGAACTTACATTTAAATGTGTATATGTACACTTTTAAACTGTTGTAACCGTTTTGGCCAGTTTCGGTGTGTAATTAACTTTTAATTGATCCAGCAAATGGGCTAGCAGGCAGTTGCTTACTTACACATCCAGCAGTTATGAAACAACTTTAATGTAACCAGTGTTCACTATGTTTAGCTCTGTTTGGGTCTCCATCAACTCCTATTTGTCTCTTAGCTGTTAAATGCCCCACTATGTTCACCAGCTTATCTCTAACTGTTTCTGTCTGCTGTTTGCCAGGCGGTGTACAGAGGGTTAACCAGATCTCTCCCTTTGCTCTTTCTGCTGGTGCTTGAGAAAACAGCGATCCAAAACAGTTAATTTGTGGGCCGTAAAACCAAAATGATGAGCTGAAAGATCTGAGAATTATCCGTTGACACTGTCAGGCTTAACATTTTCACTTTTAGGGGTGAAAAACCCCCTTTTAAACACCTTGTTGTGCACATGTATGACAAAGCTTTGATACCTTCTTTGCGCATTCCCACGCGGAAACATTTCTTCAGACGACAGTATTGACACTGGTTGCGGTGATGCTGGTCGATTTGGCATTCTCGATTTGATCTGAAAAGGGAAACAACAACAAAAGATGAACACTTATTGTGTAGATCAAAACATATATGTTCCGGGTTTTTTTCTCTAGAAATATTTCAAAAAGCTAAAAGGGAAAAACATTTGCATAATTGACTCCCCATTTCTCCCCCTCACTGACCCCTGACGAGTGAACTGTGCGAGCTGGCGTGGCCGAAAGGATATCAAGGCTGTGACCTTTTGTAAATCATCGGCCTTACACGCCCTTGTGTTGCCTTTTACAGCAGGAACGAGGTCTGCCAACATTTCACAGAAAGACCTTTTTAGCCCTGAATGTGACGAACTGACTGCAAACACACCGTCCATTCAGGGTTAGTGCATTATTATGTGGAAGAAACATGTGGCTGAGAGTAGTCTTAGTGAGAGCAGAACATTGAGTTGCAACATTGTGTTGCTGTTGTGGAGAATAATGAGAATGTTAACCTTCTGAGGCAATCCATCCTCACATGACTGACCTTCAGGGCTTTCATTTCTTTTCCTTTTTTTCTCTCCACAGGCTCTTTGTGAGACATATCCAAGGTTGGAGCATACATATCACTCTAGAGTGAGAAATGGACTATTCTGCTGTGTCTTGAAAAAAACCCTGCCACATTTAGCACTTTAGAAGCCCCAAATAAACATTAAATAAATTATTGACTACCCACTTCAATAAAGTAGATATAAACATATTACATTTAAGTGTTAATAATATATCATGTGTCAACAATAAAAACTTCTTTAATAGAAACATATTTTATGTTATTACTACTTAATTATATTTAATATATTACCACTCATGGGTGCCCCAAGAAGGAGATAAGCTGTTAACATTAATATCTGCTTACTACCTTATAGTATGTTATAGACCAGGTATCAATGTAAAGTTAAAAGTAAGTGTTTGAGCAGCCCTTACCGGCAGGAGTAGTTGAGGTTTCGTCTGATGCTCCTCTTAAAGAAGCTCTTGCAGCCCTCGCAGGTGAACACGCCGTAATGCTTCCCACTGGACTTGTCCCCACACACCACACAGTCCACTACGCAGGCCTTGTCCTCGTCCCCGACGTCCACATCGCTGCTCCCGGCCTGAGGCGAGCCCTCCTCTTCCTCCCTCCTCAGGTAAGCCTTCTCCCCCAGTCCATTAGTGTCCCCGTTGGGGTTGCCCCATCCCCCGCTCACCATGGCCATATTCTCTGAGACACGCCGCCTTGTGAGTGGATCATGCACAGACCCACCCTGTCCCCCAGCTTCCAACTCGCCTCAAAGTCAAAAGACTGGTTACAGAGAAGAATAGTTGTCCAGGTTTGTGTGTAAAGAAGAATTTGTCCAAGAAGATCGAGAAAAGGGATACAAAGTTGTCCCGGCCGCTCTGGTGTTGACCTTTCTCCCCTCTGCCGTCTGGTTGTTACGACCTGGAAGTCCTTCCCTGTGCGGTTTGCTCTCTCTCTTCTTTAATCCCTCTGCTCTCTGTTCTTGCCTTTCACCCTTGTGTTCTCTGCCCTGACCTCCGATCAATGGCTCCCGAGCTCTGAGAAACTTCAGACACACATTGAGTGGTTCAGAGTTCAGGCATGAGAAAAGGGTGCAGCCTTGCTCTTTTCACTGAACACAATAAATTACACTTTGACTCCTTCTCTCTTTCTTCCTCCCTCCCACTTTCTCTCTCCGTCTCCCCCCCCTGGAAGAAGTAAAAAGAAAAACACCTCACCTCCTTCTAATCATAGTGACAAGGGACAAAACAAGAGTCGCTCTCAAAGTGAAAAAGAAGCTCTGCCCCTCTCTCAGCGCTCGACTTTCTCCCAGAAGGACAAGCAAGTGGGAGGAAAATAAAACACAGCTCTCCTTCAGGCAGGGTTAAACTGCCCTGCCCTCTCCTCCAACTTATAAACTAGTCCAACCAGTTCCTGCCGTGCAGAGGTGTTATCTGCTGATCTGAGGCAGTTCTAGTCCAGACTCACTCTTGACTTGTCAGGGCTGTTTCAGAAGCAGAGGTGATAGTGATGAAAAGGAAAAATAGGAAAGTATTTTGCTTTGGAAATGCTCAATCATATGTCTCAAAAGAAAAACAGACGTGTGAGGTTTTTGGAATTGGATTTGGTTCTTTCTTTGGTATTTAGAGAAGATATAAACACAGAGCCACTTCAGCTTTTATATATAAGAAGTATTTTGGTTTGGTGTGCTAGACAGAAAGCCTTAAAGATCCGACTGAGGCAGACTCAACACTTAAAATAAGAAGTGACAATACACCCCTTTCCCTCCTGGAATATGTGGTCTTTGCAGCAGATAAGTGCACCAAATAAGTCCTCTTCTGTTTCTGTGGTGAAATTATGTTTTCCTGTTGCTCATCCAACTCTTCAGAGTCTGCGGTGTCTGGGGCTCAAATGTCACAGAAAAAGCCAAAACAAAGCAGAGTTGAGAAATCTCCTCCTCTCAAAGCTGCACAGAGTGTTGTTCGTGCTTGTCCATCCAGCAGTAACAGAGGCCAGGACCTCTCTGCATTCCCTGTCAGCAAGTCGGGTGTTCTGTTGCACTCCGTACTGTTCTGCCTGTCCCTTTTTTCTTCTGTTCCGCCTTTCTTTCTGCTGGCCCCGGCAGGAATAAATTAGGCAAACAAGCGCAGGAAAAACTCGGTCATAGACCTTTTAGTGAAAGCCAGACGCTGCAGTGGAGAGCAGTCCAGAGATAGCTTCCTCTCCTCTCAATCCCCTCTCTGTGTCTCTGCCTCGCTCCCTCCTTTAGGGAGAGTGAACGTGTGTCTGTGTGCTGAGGGATTTGACACTGCTATTCAAGCCCTGCCGTTGCCATGGCACTGGATGCCTTATAAGGCCAGAGGAGTCAAAGAGCACAGAGTGGGCTGCAGCCACACACACACACACATACACACACACACAGAAAGAATGCCTGGCTGCCTGACTGGCTGCCTGTTTCCCCCCTGACCCCGGGCCATACTGGGAGCAAAGGGGGAGTTAACCCCAACATTGCCGTAAAACAAAGAGGGGGCCTCTGGTCGACACACAGCGAGCGCATGGCACTCACACTCATGTTCTCCACTTCACTCTAATCCCAAAGAATTCCTCCAACTTTGTTGACCCAATAATAACAGAGAGGGCAGGCATGTTGTTGTTGAGCAACTTGTCAAAAGGTTATTTGATACACCAGCGGCTTCTTTTCACACCTGCTGCACACACTCACAGGTCTGCGTGGAGGATGCCAGAGATCCTGGTGAACAACTGCATCCTGGATGGTCCTGGTTGAGTTATTATGTTTACATTAAAAGAAAAAGAAGCTCATCTCCAGAAAGTTGTTGGACTGATGAGACAGACTAGAAAAGGAGATATTCTGACAACCTTTTCAGTGTCACTTTAGGATCTACAACCACTGTGGACTATTTTAGCATTTCACAATTTATGTCCAATGTTCATGTGAACTCAGGAGGTACAGTAGTGTGCCTGCAGAGGTCAGGGTACTGGGGGAGCAGCCCACCCAACCTTCATGCACAAGACCAGAGTTCACCACCCACCACGGACCCTCAATTCATTATTGTGTTTGATTAACTAAAAACCATAACCATATTGATTCTAACCTCAATCATCAGTTGTAACTGCCTTATCCCTTAAAAACATACATTTGACCTTAAAAAAAACAGCTTTAAATGTGTGCACTGGCTCCTAATAGGGGGAATGGTGTCTCAGTCCAGCTCTGAACAGCTGTTTTTACATTATGTCATTTTGTTAAGAGGGTAGTACAATCTCTGGAGAAGTGTCTAAGGCTTATCAGCACTAGTTGTTTTTTAGTGAAACTGGATCATATTTTGGGAGAAAAACATTTCAGATTTGCCCTCTGTTCAACTCCAGCTGCTCTGCCTGACTATCTGTGATTCACAGTTTCCTAATGGACAGAACGTTTTTTGTAAAACTAAAGTAATGCTCACGGCTAACTCCTGCTAACAGTAGCTGCTTTGTCAGAATCACGTCATTTCTGCAAAAATTATTTCAGCATTCTTTGGTCGTTACAAGTGGATACTGTGGGAAAACCAATGAAATACATTGTCAGTAAATCATTTACTTATATGAATATTTTGGGCCTTGCTAGATATGTCAAACACTAAAACACTTTATCTTTGCATTACTACGTTTACTTCTTTCACATAAATAGTATATAGGCCTAGATATATAACTTAAGACACCGGGTTGCTTTTCCCAAAGACATTATCGTTCAGGTCATGACGAGCAAAATGTACAATGTAACATTTTGCGAAATACCCCTTTAAGATGGCAGAAACAAAGGTATGGTCACATACACATGCTGCTCCTGTTTTACAGACCTAACGTCTCTTGTCTTTGCAATGCTCCTTTGGAATTTCTGACTTGCTTGTCTGTCATACCAGCAAGGTGAAGGGAGGATAAAGTAAACAACCAGGGCCTGGTTAAAAGAACTTGTATGCACCCAAAAGTGTTTGCTCATCACATGATTCCACAGAAATCCCCCCAGAGTGACAAGACGCTTTGTCCTCCTAGTGTTCTTCAAAGAAACATTTTGTACCTCAGAAGATGTATGAATATCAAAAAAACTAAAAGGTAAACATTTATAACAAGGCTGAAGGGAAGAGGAAGGATTTCTCTTATGCAATTTTCTGCCAATGTCGTTAATTCAGCCTTTTTGAATGTGAGCATAAGGTAGGCTAACTTTAACCCACATCCGTCACAGCGAGACTCATTGTGCATGGATAGGCCTTTTGTTTGGTTAAGAGGTTATCAGGGCCAAGCTAAGCTGCACTAAGTTGAATTAGTGTTTTCCTTTAAGCCATTAGAAAAGGCTCGGACCATGGGGGATAATATTCACTAATAAACCAGTGGAGATTTGAATATGTTAAGATTTGCTCCTACAACAACTTCACAACATCATAACTCTAATTGCAGTCTGCTGTTTTTAATAAAGCGCTGTCCATCTTAGTGAAATACAAACAACTCTGAGAAAAGGAATATAAACATTTTAGGGATAATAGTAACTCAAGGACAACTTACCAAAGAAACACTTTGCATTTTCCTTCATTCATTTAGTGATTTATTGAACCTGTATTTTAAATCTGAAACACATTGAGGTAGAAACTTAATTCACAATATAGCCGAACAAACAAAAGGCAAACAACAACATGAAATCCTTGGCCGCAAGAAAAACAAATAAGAAACTAAATAATAAATACAGCGATTAAAAATATACAATTAAGTTAGATTTTGATGTCATTAGGAGTTGCTAAAGACTTACATATTTGCTGTTCCTTTATTGTGGAATCAGTTTCAACAGCTAACTCCTTTCAAGGTTAATTGTGTTTTCAAACACACTCATTAGAAGGAAAGCATATACAAACATAACCTCTTCTGAAGTTCATTTGTCCAACTCATGTTGAATGATTGAAAACAGTTAGAGGATTTTGGTCAGTACCTTAAATTCGTTTTGAAAAGCAAAACAAATTATCTGAATCAATAATGATGAACATGTTTATTAGCATATTACATATACAAAGCACACCACAGTGAAGAAGGATGTTGGAACATTGACCTTTCTGACTTCACACACTTTCATCACCGGTATCCTCTTCAGTGTAGGTGTGTGACTAAAGTGTACATGTTAGCAGAGCCTCTGTTTGTGTGTGAGAAAACATTGCGGTTATATATGTTGGAGTGGGCAGATGTAGCAGTTATAGAAGTGTGCTGAAATGTTTGTGTGGGTGTGTATTCTTTGCTCTTTGAACTGCAGGTCAGGAATGCAACGGCTCTCAGTGTGAAGTCGACTGTGGCGCAGTCTGTTCATTCTCAACTCAGTCAGGAGTCCAGAGCCACTAGAGTGGAGCAGCCAAACCTTCAGTACACTCACCGAACACACACACACACACACACACACACACACACACACACACACACACACACACACACACACACACACACACACACACACACACACACACACACACACACACACACACACACACACACACACACACACACACACACACACACACACACACACACACACACTGTACCTATGACGACAAACCTCTGATCCAAATGCTCCCTTTAAATCTCCCCCTCAGTTTATTTAAAGCTAAAAACATTTACACATTACATTTTGTTTGGCAAAACATGGCTGCATATTTATATCAAATAAAAATGAAATACAGAAGTTTTCACTAGAATAATTCCCACAATAATGGTGCGACGTCTATTTTATCATCTGTTGTCAGTAAATATTGGACAGTATCAAGGCAGGACAATGTGATATTTATTAAAATATTTCAAATATAAGCAATTAAGTGGTTTTGAGTGATGGATGCTGCTGATATATACAGACGCATTTTCCTCTTTGGGACATTAAGTAGTATTGGAAGGGCATCTGTAAATATGGAAACATACACACACGCACACACACACACACACACACACACACAAACACACGCACACACAGAGTGACACACTGACAGGATATGTACATACAGGTTTAACCAGCTGAACTGTGACCTGGTAAACAAAGACTCACCTTTGTCTTCTCACCTGAGGAACAGAAGACACTTGTGTCGGTGTATCAAAAGTTGACTACACATTATGTAATGGAATGTTGCAACACCTCACTTATTGCTGTATTTCTTTTTGGAGAAAATGCCAATACATAACAGAACCCCACAGTACAATGCCATTGACATGTGTAGGTTTATTTTCTTTATTTACTAAGTGTGACCATAGTTTGTTAAAATGAGTGTGAGTGGGAAATTGGTGGCTTTATTATTTGTCTGGAAGAGTGTGAACTGCATTAGTTGAAGTGCATAGGAATTTGAGAACTGGGGTTAAACTTTAACTCTTGGTGAACAAGTAAGAGCACATGACTCCCTGCTCCTTCCTCATTAGCCCCTGCTGCCCTTTGGCCCAGAGGCCACAACAAAACCAACCTCTCCCAACACTCTCTCCATCTTTGGGCCTTTGACCTCGAGCCAATGACGGAGCAATTTAAAATACACACAGCCTTGAAACTTGCCAAAGACAAACATCTGCTGTGGTGACTCCAGAGCAATACACGGCGTCCAATCAATACCTGCTCTCCTCTGTACCCTCCCAGGACCTGCTGGGGATGGTGGGAAACTTCCCATTTGGTGTGTGCTGTTGTCATTCAAATCAGCTATCATGTGTTTGCTGTGAACAAGGTATCAACCCCTTTGTTTGTAAAGGAGTCAATACAAATGTTTACGGCAGTAGAGCTGTTTCTGCACGTTTCAACTCAAAGATAAGACACATTGTTGAATGAGTTTGGACTCTGGCTTTTCCTATTGAACTTTTATATTACCAATAATTCTGTTTCATTTTTCAATAGCTGACCGTTTCCCCTTTTTTTCCTGTCTGAATGCTTAGCTAACATGCTATATACATCCACAGTCAAACCAGAAATATCTTAATTAAATGGCCCACTTATCATACCTCTTATGCTGCGTTCACACCGGACGCGATGCGATGTATGGGGGCGGCGGGATTACATGTAAAGTCAATGCAGAGACGCGGACAGACGCGAATTCGCTCCGACGGCGCGCATGAAGCGGTGGACACGGCGCGAATCACACGATTGAGGCGATTGAACGGTGCCGCGTTAAACGCGAGAGTTCAATTTTTTCAACTCGAGCGTCAAATTCATGTGACGCGTTCTCGCGGAAGCCAATCAGCGGTGAGGATCTCAGCCTGCCGTCA